AAAAGTGGCGCCTCGACTACAACTCCCAGAATTCCCACTCAACGGCGAGCCGAAGGTTCAAACGCGCAGGCAGGCAGGCAGCACACTTTGTGCACGTTGGTGCCTCCCTAAGCGTACGCAGCTCGCTGTAGTGGTGCAGGTGTTTTGCATAAGGGAGCTCCTCGCTTTCGCCTCAACGGTGTGCCAGACGCTACCTGGAGTCATGGCCGAGCAGGTGGCTGCCGTGTGTGAGCAGCTCATCGAGGCGGTGAACGTGATGATGGACGCAGAAACCAACCAAGTGTACCGACTGGAGGCCCTGAAGGTAGCATCGTTAGGGACCGCTAGTTAGCCGCTAGTTAGCCGAAGCCTGTCATCTGTTGTGAAAGTAGAAAAGTGCCTGTGTGGCCAGATAAAATGTCAAGTTTGTATTATTTGTTGTTGTTTTGTTTTTTTTAGCGTTTGGGCTCTCGGTAACGTCACTCCTCACAGCGTTTGTTTACGTTAGCTGAAGTGATGGTAGCCAGATGCTTTTGCGAGCTAGCCGGTATATGTCGGGCGTGATGATCACAGCTCAGCACCGCATCCACTGCCGACTCACGCTTCATTCATTCATTCATAGAGCTGGTAACATGTGGCTCTGTGCTGATAGTCCTGTGAGTGTCTGTGTGAGACAGAGCTCCACTTTATGACCGTATGTCGCCATTTGAAGCGTTGCACCTAGTTTGAAGCGCTAGTTGTTAGGTTAGCTTTGCGCTATGTGAGTGTGTTTTGTAATGTTGCTGAGGCAGCTGTTGCTGTAGCCTCTTGACGCTGACACAGTACATGTAGACCGTAATGTTAAGTTCATTTAGGTAGCGTTTTTAAACCTTTTTAAAATGTGAGTTTATGTAGTAGTGTGCCTTTTAATATATCAAGCTCTTTTTTTTTTTTTTTTCCTTTCAGTTTTGTGAGGATTTTAAAGAGACCAGCTCCTTCTGTGTCCCATGTGGCTTGCAATTGGCAGATAAAGCCCAGCCAGCTGTAGTGAGACACTTTGGTTTGCAAATCCTGGAGCAGGTCATCAAGTGAGTGTACCATAACTACATATAAATCAAGCCTAACAAATAATTGCATCGCAAAAAGCTGCATATTTGAAAGAACACTCGTTTCTTTCTTTGCAGGTTCAGATGGAACAATATGCAACAACAAGAGAAAGTCCAGTTGAAGGAGTGTGCCATGCAGTTGTTATCAAATGTGAGTGTGATCGTAAAAAAAAATGCTGTTAACAACATAGTGACTGTGTTACGCTTCAAATGAAACTTTAAAGTCTGTCTTGCTGTTATAGCTGTAAACACTTATCTGATACCTGTGTTTCTCGTCAGGGTACTCATTCCATCCTGGAGGAGGAGAGCCACATCAAAGACGTCCTGTCACGGATCATAGTGGAAATGATAAAGAGAGAATGGCCTCAACATTGGCCAGATATGCTCAAAGAGATGGAGGCTCTCACTAGCCAAGGGGTGAGTAACTTGTAATGTACAGGAAACGGGTCGGTTGCCGTATGTCAGTGGTTTCCATCGCCTCCCATAGCTTGCATGCAATTTGAATAGGATTATGTAATAACTCGCATGCAAATGAGCACCATTCAAGGATGAGTCATATTCATTTTCATATGGCGTCATTATGTAAACTTGGCTCCTGGTAGGTGTCGTCATCTGTCAGCATCTGTGAACCTAGACCACATCTTTTCCACTTGTTTATTTTAATCAGTGCAAACTATATTCTTGGCCGTTCCGACCAAAACAAAAGATGCAGCCCCTTTTAATCCTGTTGTCATGAACTTTTTAAGCGAATAAAATCTTACTGAAATTCACTTGTGCCTTCCAAAGGAGGCACAGACGGAGCTGGTGATGTTGATCCTGTTGAGGCTGGCGGAGGATGTGATCACGTTCCAGACGCTGCCCACCCAGCGACGCAGAGACATCCAGCAGACCCTCACTCAAAACATGGAAAGCATCTTCAGCTTCATGATGGCCATTCTGCACGTCAATGTCGAGGACTACCGTAAAGTGGTCAGTGGGGTCTTAACTTTTATTTTATAGAAATGAGAAGCTTTTATATTAATTTCTCTGTTTTATCATGGTTATTTTATTTATTGGACAGTCAAGTTACTATAATCTTTGTCTGATTTGTTTTGTTTTTTTTTAATCCAGAAAGGGTCACCTGGACATGAACTGCAGGTGAGAAAACATCACCGCATCTCTGCTCTGAAATGAACCTCTTATGAACTGAATTACTTTATTTTCTCATTCTCTTCCCTCCCTTTTCCCCTTTCTGTCCTTCATTTTTCCATGCACAGGCCAAAGCTCACTGTCGAGTCGCTGTGGCTACCCTGAATACACTTGCAGGCTACATAGACTGGGTGTCTCTGGTGCACATTACCTCTGGAAACTGCCACTTACTGGAGATGTTGTGTTTGTTGCTGAGTGAACCGGAGCTGCAGCTGGAGGCAGCCGAGTGTCTCCTCATCGCTATCAGCCGAAAGGTGACTCAGAGGGAAAACACACAGCCCAGTAGCTGTAAAGAGATTATTCTTTCAGTCTCTTTTTTTTGTTAAATAGTTACTACGGTATTATAACTTCAAAACACCCTACCAGACTTTAATGGGATTTGTTGAAAAGCTAGGCCATGGCCGTGGAAAGAATTGGTGCAGAGCTGTAGCAATAGCGCTACCATGTGGCTATTTATAATACACTTATCATGGCTCGTAAGTCCCGAACTGAGAGGTGTGGAAGAGTCTTTTTCTGTGAATTCCTAGACAAACCTATCAATTTTGTATTTTTTCTTTTCACGATTACTCATATAACTTTCATCAGTTCATCAACAAAGTCAACATATTGAATATACTGATATATTGTATGGTTTTAGATGTGTGTGTGTGTACTTTGCTTATTTGAAATCAATTGGCTTGGCTCTTGAATGCATTGTGCTGTTGTAACCACATTTAGATGAAGTGTGCACACATTAACTCTGACAGTTCTTGCAAAGTATGACAGAAACTCATCGATTGCTTCGTCATAATTTAAATGGCTATAAGTCATGAGTCTGACTGTAAAATGTTGCTGAGCATCCCTGTACAATCCCTAATATTTCCAGGAAAAGGAATTAGGTATTCTCTAAAAAAAAATATGTCCACCATCATCAGCATAACTGTCTTTCACTGTGTGTATGAGATGCTGATACGGATTGCAGATCTTTAAATATATAAACTAACCTTGGTGGTAGTATGTGCTCTCTGAGTGCTTTCTAGTTGGAATATGAACCTGACTTATCATGAGCTGTAGAAACTGCAGATCTGATCATGCTACAGTGTGCTCAGTTACAACCTAGACAGTTAGTGGATATTGACATTAAATAACCAATAATAATACCTGTGTGATCCATTGTTACTCTGCCACAGGGCAAGCTGGAGGATAGGAAGCCATTCATGCTGCTGTTTGATGATGTGGCCATCCACTACATCCTTTCTGCAGCTCAGTAAGTATAACTGCTTCTCTCCATCACCCCCCTTTACGGGCTTCATTCAATCATTGTCACTGTGATTGAACGGTTTGTGTTGGTCTGGTTACAGGTCAGCAGATGGACTGGCAATATGTAAGAAATCTTCTGAATCAGAGTAAGTAATGTGACCCACCTGCCTACTGTGGAGCACACAGACAGTCATAAAAACACATTTGTTATGTACATCTGGCTATGGCTTATAGTCCTGTGCGTGTGTGTGCGCTGTACCTTTTTTAGAGCAGTGGAGGTGGTGGAGCGGCGTTACATCTTCCTGAAGAGGCTGTGTCAGGTCCTGTGTGCTCTGGGAAGCCAGCTCTGCTCATTAGTGGTGAGTTTATCCTAATTTGGCCACACATCATGTGTTCACGTAGTCTTTTGTCTTGGTCCAC